TTGCCCCTGATGATCTTTTCAAGCTGTGTATTAAAAGCCAGCCGAGTTTTGGCGATTACTGCTTCGGCGGGTAGGCGGTTCCACACCCACCGCATAGGTTCGAATGCTAGTTAGCATTGTAAATGTGTGGCCACGTCTGTGGTAGAAAAATAATAATGATAATAATAAAAAGGTTCGAACCCGCATTACGGCTCCTACGGATTTTCTCAATGGTGCTAATAATGAAGACTCTTCAATACAGTTAAGATATGTGTGGTCTTTACATTTTTTAACCTCAATGTGGACCGCTCTCAGCTTGACTACAGCTCCTTGAAGACTACCGCACCAGACTACACGTGCTACAAGTAACTACCAGACTACACGTGCTACAAGTAACTACCAGACTACACGTGCTACAAGTAACTACCAGACTACACGTGCTACAAGTAACTACCAGACAGATGTTCTTCATAGGACCCGCCATTCCCCACCCCCTTACTGGAGTATATGATTCATGCACAATTGTAGAACTGGTTTTGGCAACACTGACAAGCAAAATGAAGTCACTTAAACAATTGAAACATTTTATATGAACTTGATTAGTGGTAAAATGCCATTCTGTAAGTGTTAAAGAAACTAATAATAATAATAATAATAATAATAATGACAGAGGTGAAGACACTGCTTCAGGAAACTGAACAGAAATATTCAAACTCCAACAGAAAGTGTAACGAACACAGGTGATTTAAATATGAACAGCATCAGTATTTATGATATTAATATTATTAGGCAGAATACGGTAATGGTAAAATGGTTTAGTTAATGGTGGCTCTATAAGATGGCAAGATAATATGCTCCAAGTGAGTATATTTTATATACTAGAGTGATGTTGAGTCTTGCGTCTGGCAGGGGTGCGGGGCCATGGACCGCGCTGCCACAAGCACTCCTCCCAAATTTGGTGTTGTCGTACCACATGGCCTCTAGGCTGGGTCTCGGCCTGGGTGATGCCTGCTTTCGTATTCATCTAGATGTGTTGCCTTACCTTGGGGGGTCGTGCATTAGCTCTTTGGTCCCGCCTCTCAACTGTCAATCAACTAGTGGTTATTGACCTTTATCATGACTGCATTTGAAACTTGTGTAAGGTGCTTGCATCTGCATCGCATCTTAGTGCATTCCATTTAACCACTCTGACACTGAAACATTCTAACGTCTCTGTGGCTCATTTGAGTACTCAGTTTCTAGTTTGGGTACATGTTCCCTTGTGCGAGTACCACCCGTGCTAAATAGTCTGTCTTTATCTATCCTGTACATTTCCCTGAGAATATTGTATGTGGTAATCATGTCTCTTCTGGCGTTCTTCTCCAACTTCGTCTTGTGCTTGACCACATATGAACTCTGAATTAATCATAAGGTTCTGAATTAATCGTTATACAAATTTCTAAAAGGCAGTTTTTATACCAGTGCCTATAAATTCCTGCCTGGCCTATTCCAGTATTGTGGTCTCCAGGCAACCCGTCCACCTGACAGAACGTCGCATTTTGACGTATAATTTAAGGCCAAAAATGGTCAATTCAATTTTATTATGCACCCCATACCCTTCCCGTAGGCAGTGGTGGAAGGGGTTACAGAGACACATAATCGGCTCCATACTTTATTTTGCTAAGCAAGTGACAATCTTTCAAAAAATTTTGTACTAGAGAATGATAGCGGTTCGCAAAATTGACATTGTCCCGTTTTTTGTTTTAGGTTCTGTGGTAGGTTAGGATAAGGGCAGTCCCCGGGGTACTGTGCTTGCTCAGTACTCATTCTCATATCGGACATAGACAAGGACACAATCTATAGCACTGTATCATCTTTTGCAGATGACACTAGGATCTTCATGAGAGTAGACAACATAGAGGACACGGCAAACCTCCAATCAGATGTAAATCGGGTCCTTCTATGAGCTACAAAAAATAATATGGTGTTTAACGAAGATAAGTTCCAGCTCATGCGCTACGGAAAAAATGAAAATATAAAAACGGAAACCACGTACAAAACTCAGTCAAATCATAACATGAACGAAAAGGCAATGTAAAGGATCTGGGTGTACTCATGTCGGAAGACCTTACCTTTAATGAACACAGTAAAGTAGCCGTCACAACGGCAAGAAAAATGACAGGTTGGATAACAAGAACCTTTCACACTAGAGATGCTATACCGATGATGATACTTTTCAAGACGCTAGTGCTCTTTAGAGTGGAGTACTGCTGCACAATGACAGCCCCTTTCAAAGCTGGAGAAATTGTTGACCTGGAGAGCGTGCAGAGATCCTTTACTGCTAGAATCCACTCAGTAAAACATCTAAACTACTGGGTCCGACTAAAGAGCCTAAATCTGAATTCCCTTGAGCGCAGGCGGGAGAGATACATAATAATTTACACGTGGAAAATAGTAAGAGGGACTGGTCCCAAACCTGCACACAGAAATAACATCACATGAGACCAGAAGGCATGGCAGGATGTACAGAATACCCCCGTTGAAAAGCAGAGGTGCAACAGGTACTCTGAGAGAAAACTATCAACATCAGAGGCCCGAGACTGTTCAACACGCTTCCACTACACATAAGGGACATAACTGGCCGACCACTCGCAGTGTTCAAGAGAGAACTTGACAAACACCTCCAAAGAATACCTAATCAACCAGGTTGTGATTCATACGTCAGGCTGCGAGCAGCCGCGTCCAACAGCCTGGTCGACCAGTCCAGCAACCAGGAAGTCTGGTCGAGGACCGGGCCGCGGGGACCTTGAACCCCGGAACCACCACAAGGTAACCCCCCTAGATCTTTTCTTTGTTAGAGTTCTTAAAGTTCATTCCACATAACTTGTTGGTTGTGTGGAGCCTATTTTCTCCTATTCTATATTTCATAACTTGGCATTTATCTAGGTTGAATTCCATTTGCCAGGTGTTTCTTCATATCCTTATCTTGTCCAGGTCTTCTTGAAGGACATGACAAGTCTGGTATCGTCCCTATTAGCTTAGAATCCCCAGCAAACATGTTCATATTGGTCTGTTTGACTTCTTGGTAGATCATGCGTATATGCATATACCGTAGAGGATGAATATTACTGGTACCAGAACTGAACCCTGCGGTACTCCAGTGGTGTGTGTGTGTGTGTGTGTGTATGTGTGTGTGTGTGTGTGTGTGTGTGTGTGTGTGTGTGTGTGTGTGTGTGTGTGTACTCACCTGGTTGTACTTGCGGGGAAGGGGGGGGGTTGAGCTTCGGCTCTTTGGTCCCGCCTCTCAACTGTCAGTCAACGGGTGTACAGATTCCTGTGCCTTTTGGGCTCTTCATTTGAGAACTGCCTACACAGTTTCATTTGAAACTGTGTGTGGAGTCTGCCTCCATAACATCACTTCCTAATGCATTCCATTTGTTTACTACCCACAGTATAAAAGTTCTTCATGATGTATCTGTGTGTTGTGTTGTGTTGTGTTGTGTTGTGTGGAGGAAGAGAAGCACCACCACAACCCATCAACACCCAGTAACATGTGACTGTGGGAGCTTGTTTTGTCCCCCCCCTCCCCTCACCCCCCTCTCCCCTCACCCCCACAACCCCTCCCTCCTCCTATCCGGTGTAGACACAGGAGTAGACACAGGTCCTGGTGGGTGTACTCTCTTCCTCTTTGTGGGAGAAGGGGGAGGTTAGTGTCCTACACCTGGCTTAGACACCTCACACCTGTCCTACACCCGGGTACCCCTCTCCCACATCTGCCTCTACATACCCCCACACACCTGTCCTACACCCAGCTTTCAACGCTCTGAAATTTAACATTATAATTTATCCTGCAAAATATAAAGACGAAGCACTTCAAGGAATCGCAATAGTAATTATGAAATAGCTTCTACCACCTGAAATATTGGTCTATAAAGATACAACCACAGATAGAGAGAGATACAACTACAGATAGAGAGAGATACAACTACAGATAGAGATACAACCACAGATACAAACTACAGAAAAACAAAATACAGCCCATCTTAAAATAAAAGTACATAATAAGTATGTGATGGAATGTACAAATATGTAGTGATGCTCCACTAGACAGTTAACATATATATATATATATATATATATATATATATATATATATATATATATATATATATATATATATATATATATATATATATATATATATATATATATATATATATATATATATATATAATTTTTTTTTTATTGTAAACTTTATTTTTCCGTATTTTATACAATTAATAGTCCAAAAATGGTGTACTAGCGGTGCAAATGGTACTATAAGTACTATTATTTCAAGAGGATGGGGTTAGATAAGCTTTGAAGGAAAATACTAAATAGAATTATTTTAGCTCCTGGCTCCTGGCCGGGCTTGGGGAGTAGAAGAACTCTCAGAACCTCATCCAGGTACAATCCAGGTAGAGAGTGTAGGGAGGTTACAAGTGGAGTGGCACAAGATCTGGTCTAACACCAGGGTTGGACCACTGGTTAGACCAGCTAACAGGTGAGGTGATAATATAAACTTGTGGGCTGCTCCAACCAACAGCCTGGTGGACCAAACTCTCACAAGTCAAGCCTGGCCTCGGGCCGGGCTTGGGGATTAGAACAACTCCCAGAACCCCATCAACCAGGTATATGTGGGCCTGCGGGCTGCTCCAAGCAACAGCCTAGTGGACCAAACTCTCACAAGTCAAGCCTGGCCTCGGGCCGGGCTTGGGGAGTAGAACAACTCCCAGAACCCCATCAACCAGGTATATGTGGGCCTGCGGGCTGCTCCAAGCAACAGCCTGGTGGACCAAACTCTCACAAGTCAAGCCTGGCCTCGGGCCGGGCTTGGGGAGTAGAACAACTCCCAGAACCCCATCAACCAGGTATCAACCAGGTATCAACCAGGTGCTTCACAGGTGAGAGAGTCATTTACCAAAGTTATTGCAGATTATTATTATGTTCTTAGCTGATGCTGTGAGTAATATTAATGTGTGTATATTTTTGTGTTGTTTCAGAGCGCGTGTTGGAGTATCTGGGGGTCCCGGTGACTTATTGGTGAGTCTTTATGGCGGGTTTGCTGTTATAGTGTTAGTGTTGGGGCTTTTTGAGTGCTTCTGTGTGTGTGTGTGTGTGTGTGTGTGTGTGTGTGTGTGTGTGTGTGTGTGTGTGTGTGTGTGTGTGAGAATCAAGCAGGTGGTAGTCACTGAAGCGTAGATGTGTTTGTGTAGCGTTGTGGGGGCGTTAGTGGGCGTCTGGGTGTGGATGTGCTCTCACACACACACACACACACACACACACACACACACACACACACACACACACACACACACACACACACACACACACAAAGGCATCTGTGACCATGGTGTGGTAGCCCACAAAATGAGGTCAATATGAATAACCGGTAAAGTAGGGCGATATTCAATTCAAACAGAACGCAAAGAGTAACAGTCAGTTCAAATAGTCCAAGCGCAGTTAAAAGCTCTGTACCTCAGGGTACAGTCCTTGCACCACTGCTTTTCCTTATTCTCATATCAGATATAGACACAAATACAATTCCTATTTTCGTGTCATCTTTTGCAGATGACACAGAAATCAGCATAAAATTATTTCGGCAGAAAAAAATATAAACTACAAGTTTTCGATTGGGCAGCGGGAAATAACATGATGTTTAACAGTGATAAATTCCAGGTACTTAGGTACGATAAATATGAGAACCTTAAACATGATACAGGAAACAAAACACAATCAAATTTGCCCATAGTAGGAAAGCAGCATGTAAAGGATTTGGGAATAATGATGTCCGATGACCTAACGTTTAGGGAGCATAACCAAGCACATACCGCGTCAGCCAGGAAAATGATAGGATGGATTACGAGAACTTTCAAATCCAGGGATCCCATCACAGTGGTTGTACTCTTCAAGTCACTTGTGTTGTCCCGTTTTGAGTACTGCTCAGTACTCAAAACTCCCTCAAAACTCAGTACTCCCCCCCCCTCTTCAGAGCAGGAGAGATTGCTGAAATAGAGGGAATACAGAGAACATATACGGCACGCATAGACGAGATAAAACACCTAAATTATTGGGATCGTCTCAAAGCTCTCCAAATGTATTCTCTGTGCAGACGATGAGTCACAATAACGTGGCTGAAGATATGTAGTCTAAACCACACACCAGAAGGTGAGGAGACGACGACGTTTTCCATGGTAGAATAAGAACATACTAGAGGAAAGGGTACGGAAGGAAATGCAGAATAGAACCAGTGAAGAGTAGAGGTGCCATAGGCACAATCAGACAACACTGTCTGAACATGGGAAGTCCACGGTTATTCAGTACTTCTCAGCAAGTACAAGAAATAATGCCGGAACAAAGGTGGACTTCTTCAAGAAGCAGTTAGATAAATTTTTGCAAGAGGTGCTGGACCAACCGGGTTGTAGAGGCTATGTGGGCCTGCGGGCCGCTCAAAGCAACAGCCTGGTGGACCAAACTCTCACAAGTCAAGCCTGGCCTCGGGCCGGGCTTGGGGAGTAGAAGAACTCCCAGAACCCCATCAAGGTACAACCCAAGAGATGAGAAATATGTAAGACAGAATTAACTATTACATATAACCATATGTTACATAACGACATATAACCCAGTAGACATACCGTCCGAGAGAGTGACGTTGGTTAAACGTTAATTTAGCGTTAAATTGACGTTACTCCTCGATACTGTGGCCACTTGGAAGATTGTAAGGGATGATGACAAAGTACAATGATGGCAGCTCTGCGTCCTCGTCAAGGCCACTAGTATTAGTAACCCTCAGGTAAATTCAGGTAATACACAAAGTAGCAGAGATATAAACAACTTTCCTAGTGTTAAAACCGTCAGTAAGGGAGAATAGGTTAGACGAACAAGTCGTTAAATGTTAAAAGTGATAAAACTCTGGAAACTGATCCATTGTGTTAATATAAGAACGTTTGGAAGGCGGGGCTAGGAGCTTAGCTCGACCTTGAAAGGGACCCAAACCCACGCCCCACCCACGCCACGCCCACGGCCCGCCCACGTCACCCGTCAAGTGGAGGATCATTCTTCATCCACCTCCATCTTGTCAGGTGAATAAAATATATTTCGGCAACTTTACACTCGTGTGTTGCATAACAAATGAATTAGTGTTGAAGGTTGTTTTGTAGAGTGAAGATTGTGTAGTGTTGCGCGGCTCCTCCTGGAGGTGAAGGTGGTGGTGTGGGTGAGGAGGAAGTGGGCGAACTGTGGTATGTCACCCCCCCCCCCCCCCACACACACACACACACCAGTGACGGAGTGTGCCGGTTTGGCGCCACGCCCCCATCACAACAATAACACTGGCTTTGTGCGCACTTCTCACACATGCACACACGCGCATGCATGCACCCACCGACACGCATGCACCCACACGCGCGTTCATGCATGCAGGAGCGCGCACGCACATACACACACCCACATGGGGTAACCGATTAACCCCGTAACACGAGGATAAATACACAAATAGTAAACACACACACAGTGTATTAATTTAAAACTAATTAGTATTTTAACTAATTAGTATAAATTAGTATGAAAACTAATTTTCAGACCATCTAGAAATGGTCTGAAAATGACTACTAGAATGTAACGCACAAAAATTGCAAAGTTATGAGGCTAGAGATAGAATTAAAAGGTCCTCAGAGAATGAGGAGGAGGCAGCTTCCCACATCAGAAAATTCTAACTTTGAGGTAGACAAAACCACAAATCTCACACCAGTCACGCATCAGAGTAACGTGGCAACATATGCCAAACTGGTCAATTCAGGAAAATAAAACTTTCCTTAACAGCAAAAAAATCCTTTCCTTAAGACCACTCAATAGCTCGGTTGATAGAGCTTGGGTCTTACATGCAAGGGGTCCACGATTCGAGTCTCCTATAACCCAGGAGAATGGAACAGCCTTCAGAAACTTTGACAACAGTGTCTTGGGTCTCAGTAGTAGAGTGGGGTTCTTTCTTGACTCACAATCGGCAAACCCGGGAATCCAGTAGTAGTTGGGCGCGTTTCCTATCACCTAATGGCTCTGTTCACCTAGTAGTAAATAGGTACCTGGAAGTTAGTCAACTGTTGTGGGGGTTGCATCTTGGGGAAGGAGCTTGACTTCTATATGGTGGTGGGGGGGGGACCGAAATAAGCCTAATGTTTAAATATAAACAGGCTCCCTGTCCCCGACAAAATAAATTAATTTAAAATTTAAATATGGTAGGGTAATCAAGTGAATGGCGTCATAACACTAAACTATTAATGTTCGTAACACGAGGCTACACCCCCCCCCTGTTCGTAACACGAGGCTACACCCCCCCCCTGTTCGTAACACGAGGCTACACCCCCCCCCTGTTCGTAACACGAGGCTACACCCCCCCCTGTTCGTAACACGAGGCTACACCCCCCCCCCCTGTTCGTAACACGAGGCTACACCCCCCCCTGTTCGTAACACGAGGCTACACCCCCCCCTGTTCGTAACACGAGGCTACACCCCCCCTGTTCGTAACACGAGGCTACACCCCCCCCTGTTCGTAACACGAGGCTACAACCCCCTGTTCGTAACGCGAGGCTACAACCCCCCCCTCTTCGTAACACGAGGCTACAACACCCCTGTTCGTAACGCGAGGCTACGACCCCCCTGTTCGTAACACGAGGCTACAACCCCGCTGTTCGTAACACGAGGCTACAACCCCCCTGTTCGTAACGCGAGGCTACGACCCCAATCCCCCTTGATTCCCGTTTTCTTCAGCCCAGACTGTTCTAACTTGTGTATCAGCCTTGGTCGGGGGACCAACCTGTCCTCTCAAGTAACATCCTATTTTGACGTCAGAATATCACGTAATATCAAATAATAACGTCAACACGAAACACAGGGTACAGGGCACAATCAGATCTACTCATAGAAGGAAGGTAACATGTAAAAGATCTGGGAATTATGATGTCTGACGACCTGACATTTAGTGAATATAACCGAGCAAATATAGCGGCGGCGGCCAGGACAATGACTGGATGGATTATGAGAACGTTCACATCCAGGGACCTCACAGCAATGCTGATACTATTTAAATCACTTGTGATGTCCCGTCTTGAGTATTGGTCGATACTAGCTTTCCCCTTCAGAGCAGGAGAGATTTCTGAATTAGAGGGAATACAGAGAACATATACGGCACGCATAGACACGATAAAACATCTAAATTATTGGGACCGTCTCAAAGCTCTCAAATGTACTCTTTGGAAAGGAGACGAGAAAGGTATAAAATAATATATACATGGAAGATACTGGAGGCCAGGTCCCAAATTTGCACAGTAGAATAACAACATACTGGAACGAAAGATAGGGAAGGAAATGCAAAATAGAACCAGTGAGGAGTAGAGGTGCCATAGGCACAATCAGAGAACACCGTCTGAACATCAGGGGGTCCAAGGCTGTTCAACACCCTCCCAGCAAGCATTAGAAATATTGCTGGAACAAAGGTGGATATATGAGGCACTTGGATAAGTTCTCGCAAGACGTGCCGGACCAACCGGGCTGTAGTGGGTATGTGGGCCTGCGGGCCGCTCCAAGCAACAGCCTGGTGAACTAAGTTATCACAAATCAAACCTGGTTCGGGGAGTACAACTCCTAGAACTCTCTCCAGGTATGCTCCAGGTATCGTGTACTATAAATCATAGCTACTTACTAAATTGACGGGCTGTTACGTTTTCTATTCATGGGTTCATCGGTTAGGTTCGGGCAGTTTAGTATATTCACTTTTGTGACGTTTTGGCAAGTGGAGAAGACGTGCTGCGGTCAAAGAATTTTGGGCTATGAGAAATGCAATTCAACCAACCCTCTCTCCTTGTGACCCTTGTAGTAGTAAAACTTGATCAGATTTAGTTCCTAAGGCATGACTTGGCTGTACTCACCTAGTTGTGCTTGCGGGGGTTGAGCTCTGGCTCTTTGGTCCCGCCTGTGGTGGTCCTGGGAGATGTGGGGGGGGGAGTAAAGAGGAAGGAGAGGCATAGGTGAAGGGAAGTTTAGAAGTG